AATTGAACCAGCGATCCTTCAACATGAAACAAAATGGGCGTCCCTTGTCGGTGTATTACAATGACCTGGTTTCAATTTTTCAGGATATTGATTACCGTTTGACTTCTCAAGGTAGCACGGTTCAAGGGGTTGTCTAGATGCACTCAACCATGGCTCGTCTCAGCGTCCATATTTTCCTCAGCGGTCTGGACTCTGACTTCGACTCCGTCCGTGGTGAAATCCTTCGCAAGGACCCCAAGCTTGATTTGGAGGGAAGCTATGCCTATGTTCGTCGTGAACAGCACCAACGTCTCACTATGGGTCGCCCACACACTAGTACTGAATCCTCTGCTCTAATAACTCAGTCATCTCGTCCTTCCTCCGGCTCCTCTTCCACCAGACACGACAAAGAACCATTCCCCAACAAGTCCAATCCTCTTATCTGTTCGTATTGTGGGGATACTGGACATACTAAGACTCGTTGCTATGAACTCATTGGATATCCTGAGTGGTGGGATTTTTGCAAGAAGCCTCAAAGGAAAGCTCTCAACAAAGCTCTGGCCATCACTTCGGCTACTGAGTCTACCGATTCCCCTCCTCCCGTTGCCAATGCTGTGTATGAAGGACTGTTAGGTATGTCTCATGCTTTCTCTACACTCTCTCGAAATACTGCTTGGATAGTTGATACGGGTGCCTCTGATCACATGGTTTGTTCTCCCCATGCCTTAACTCATATTAATCCTACTGCTAAAACAATGATTTCCACGGCTAATGGAGGGACCTCAGCTATCACTGGTCAAGGTTCCATTGTATTATCTCCTACAATCACCCTTAAATTTGTTTTGGTTGTACCATCTCTTGAATTTAACCTTATTTGTGTCATTCAACTAACCTCAGACCTTCATTGCAAGGTTATTTTTTATCCTAATTTCTGTGTCTTTTAAGGAAGCCAGAATCAAGAGATCCTTGGTTATGGAATTAGACATGGCAAGCTATACCTCTTGGACTCCTCCATCCTTGATAATTTCCCTTCCATTTATGCATCTTCTATCTCGAGTTTGGACTCTTCATCCACTGCTGCTTGGCTTTGGCACAAGAGACTTGGTCATCCCTCCTTTAGTCACCTCAAAAAATTGTTTCCCCAATTTTTTGTTAATTTGAATGTTGCTGATTTTCAATGTAAAACTTGTGTTTTGGCCAAGAGCCATCGTATTCCTTTTCATCCAAGTTTCAATAAAAGTTCTGTTCCATTTCAAGTAATACACTCTGATGTATGGGGACCCTCTAAAGTTCCTTCTTTCTCTAAATCTTATTATTATGTCTCCTTTATTGATGAATGCACTCGTATGGTCTGGATTACTTTACTCAAACATAAAAACGAAGTTTTTTCTGCATTTAAAAAATTTCATACTATGGTATTGAACTAATATTCTTCTGCCATCCATATTTTTCAATCTGATAATGGCTCAAAATACATGAACAATTTATATTCTGATCTTTTATCATCTCATGGCATAAAACACCAAACTTCTTGTCCATATACATCCCAACAAAATGGTCTGGCTGAGAGGCGTAACCGTTAACTTTTGGAAATTGTTAGAGCCTCTCTCTTCGAAATGAATGTTCCCCTCTGTTATTGGGGGGAGGCTGTGGTTTCCGCTGCTTATCTTTTGAATAGAACTCCTTCTTGTGCTCCTAATTTCAAAACCCCACAACAAGTCCTTGAATCCCATTTTTCTCTTCCTCATGTCACAAACCTTGAACCCAGAATTTTTGGTTGCACCTCTTATGTCCATGTTCCCAAAACGCTTAGGTCTAAACTTGATCCTAATGCAAAAAAATGTGTATTTGTCGGTTACTCTGATTCACGAAAAGGATATAGGTGTTTTGATCCCATTTCCCATAAAATGCATATTTCTTTGGAAATTTCTTTCTATGAATCTACACCATATTATTCATGGGGAGACTCTATTTCTTCTTCTAAATGGGAGACTGTCCTAGATCAATTTGGAGAAGCATAAATTCGTCTCCAAGACCAGTTCCCGGTTGATGCTCCTTCTCCTTCATCAAGTGTTGCCTCTACTCCATCTCCCAGCTCCACGAATATTTCTTCACATCCTGAAGCTTCATGTCTGATTCCTACACCTCGGATCTCATCCCCACAGCACCATGAAACACAAACTGAACAGGTTAGTGATATACAAAATGATTTATCCATAATCCCTACATCTCAGAGTTCTCCCATTCATATTAGAAGGTCTGTCTGTACCAATAAAGGTATACCAAAATCCTTTTATGAACCAGATCCAAAAGTCAAAGCCAAATACCAATTAGTAACTATGTATCTACTCAAAACCTCTCTGAATCATGTGCTCTAACCATTAATCAATTGTCTAGTGTATGTATTCCGAATAGTGTGCAGGAAGCATTAGATGATCCAAAGTGGAACTGCCATGGAAGTAGAAATGGAAGCACTTCAGAAAAATAACATCTGAGAACTAGTGCAGCCACCAAAAGACAAGAAAACAATTGGATGCAAGTGGGTCTTCAATGTAAAATTAAGAGCTGATGGGAATATTGATAGATTCAAGGCAAGATTAGTGGCTAAGGGCTATACCCAGAAGTATGGTGTGGATTACCAAGAGATGTTTGCTCCCGTTGCCAAGTTAAACACAATCCGTATTCTGATTTCCTTGGCTGCAAACAGAGATTGTAAATTAAGGCAATTTGATGTAAAAAAAATGCTTTTTTGAATGGAGAATTGGAAGAGGAAGTTTATATGGATGTGCCACCTGCAGTGAAGCTCTCTTCTTCAAAGGAGAATGCATTGTGCAAGTTAAAAAATGCACTATATGGTCTAAAGCAGTCACCAAGGGCTTGGTTTGGGAGATTTTCTCAAGCAATGATAAAATATGGATATACTCAAAGTAATGCAGATCACACCTTATTCTTCAAGCACAGGGAAGGTAAAATAACTATCCTCATAGTTTATGTAGATGATATGATCTTGGCTGGAGATGATGAGGAGGGGATGAAATCTCTTGCACAACACTTAGCCACTGAATTTGATATGAAAGATTTGGGTCAACTGAAGTACTTCTTGGGCATTGAAGTCACAAGATTCGAAGAAGGAATAGCATTATCACAGAGGAAATACGTTCTAGACTTGTTATCTGAGACTGGAATGCTAGCGTGCAAACCAGCTGACACGCCAATAGAAGTAAATCACAAGCTTGGTATTTACCTAGATCACATTGGAACTGATATTTGCAAGTACCAGAGGCTAGTGGAAAAGCTTATCTACTTATCTCGGACAAGACCATATATCTGTTATGCAGTAGGAGTAGTGAGCAGGTTTATGCATTCTCCTAGTGAAGAACACATGAAGGCTGCCTTTAGAATTCTGAGATACTTAAAAGGATCACTTGGAAGAGGTCTTCTTTTTTCGAAAAATAAAAAAGAAGGCATAGAAGGATATACTGACTCTGACTGGGCAGGAGACCAGACTACAAGGCAGTCTACCTTGGGTTATTTAACCTTTGTTTATGGGAATCTAGTCACATGGAGGAGCAAAAAGCAAAAAGTGGTTGCCAGTCAAGTGCCGAAACTGAGTTTAGAGGTATGTCATATAGAATTTGTGAACTTCTGTGGATTAAGAATGTCCTTAAAGATTTAAAATTACGAAATGATTGCCCTATGAATCTTTACTGTGATAATAAGGCTGCCATTGAAATTGCACAAAATCCAGTTCAACATGATAGAACCAAGCATGTAGAAGTTGACAGACATTTCATAAAGGAGAAGGTGGATCAAAAAATTATTAATATTCTTTACATCAAATCTGAAGATCAGCTGGCAGATGGCCTAACCAAAGCAATCTTTGTTAAAGCACATGGAAGTATACTTTGCAAGTTGGACATGTTGGATATACACGCACCAACTAGAGGGGGAGTGTTGAAACAAAAAATTAAATTCAAAGTTTGAGTTTGAAATATTGTTGTATTCTCTAGAATCTTAACTGAGTTATTTTTAGGAAATTTGTTTCATAGCAAATAGGCCCTGAGTTGTTACAATTTTGTATATTCCGATCCTAGGAATTTGTTAGTTTGTTGTTAGTTTGTTATTATTTACTCTGTATAAATGTATCTGAGAGGAACCATTTGAATACATGAGGAAGTATTTTACCAGTATTGAGATTTAACATGAGGGACTCTTGTAGGACCATGTGAGAATAAGAGAGAAAAAGAGAAAAACTAGACCCACACACTTTTATATTTGTATAGGATATAATTTTATCTTAACATGAGAACATTAAACTCTATAACTATTTCAACATATGGTGTCCTATAGCTTATTCAAAATTTTCATAACTATTTCACTGTTAGTGATTTTAATAAGAATAATATTATTTGTACCTCGTTTCAATAATTCTTATGAATTGTTCAAATCTTAGACGACATATAGGGTATGTCCTTGCTCAAATATGTTGACGTTCAATCGTTATATATATGCAATTTATATATAGAGCAAATCCCTAGAAATACTATAGATTTTCCTTCAGAGTCCCATCCAACAATTCCTTCATACATTATTTACTTCTTTTTGTTATTATATTTTTGGGGTGTTACCATTGACCCTAATAATAATGTCACTGATCCCATTAAATGTTATGAAACATGTAAGTGCTACTATTAATGCATTAATTATAGAATTATTCTATAATATACTGTATACTAATATACTGTATACTAATATATTATTCTATAATATACTGTATAACTAATGGCTATCAAAGAAACCCCATCACCATGCACATGGGCATGTTCCCCTCTCTAACTTTGGACAATATAAAATTTTTGATATTTTCCCCATCCAGCTGAGACATTAATAACTTTGTTGTACACAAATTAATTAAAACACAGACAAAATAAATTATGTGAAGAATCTTTTGACAGGAATAAATAATGCATTAAAATTGAAGGAATTAAGCACACGACAATATCGACAGCAGAGCAGGTTCACATAGCTAGCAGAACAAGTGCTTATTAGCAAGCCAACAGTAATAATAAACAAGCCAGACTAATATATAGGCTGAGTTTATTTGCTTCTTGTTCAGTACAAATGCCCATAAAATTAAACTTGAATCTATATACGATCAAAACAAAATAGAGACACATCCAAACAAATAACATTGTTCCATATTTGTCTCTGCTGAAGTGCTTTATATATCTTTTATAGATCCACTTTTAAACGGGACTCTGATATTGAATATGTATTAGGCCAGTCTCAGCTTCTGCTTTTGCATTTTTCCTTGGCTCTTGGTGCTGAAAGTACAGAAAAAGATGCCAACATTAGAATAGCAGTAAATTAATTTGTTTGGAATGGAAAACATCAGAATAAATTTGTTTAAAAAAGATGCCAACATTAGAATAACTATTTGCAAGCGATAGTACCTCTATCAATGGATCAAATGATACATAACAACAAGTGAGTTAACACCACATCTCAACCCAAAAATTTAAGACTATATGATTATGGGGATTTTTTTCCGCTTATGTCATCCTCACTTGGTTTATGTCTAACTGATGTGAAATTTCACAACACTCACATGTTATAGAAATACACAAAATTGACATTAATATGACTTTCACCTAAAACTTAAGTTTTTGTATTGAATTGATTTTTTATATGATATTAAAACCTCCATGATCAAGTGGTCACATGTCACGGATTCGACTTTCACATGTCTCCTATTCTATTAAAAAAATAATTAAAAGATTGTGGAGTTTTTAGGGATTGTGTATTGTCCACCTTTCGAGCCCAATGAGCTTTTGTGTGAGGTGCATTTTAGAAAAATATAAGATAATACAATTAATATGACATTCACTTAATAACTTAAGTTTTTTGATTAAATTGATTCTTTACATCACACTTTAATATTTCCAACAAAATTGCCAAATATAAAAAGTGATTAATAATTGTTTTTCCTAATAATCATTTCCACGAGTCATTAGATGAATGATAAGAAATATATAGTTGATGTTTAAAGATATATAATAATACATACCGAGCCCAATCGCTTCTGATCCTTTCATTATTCGCAGACGCTTGCATGATTCAACAAACATTCTTCAAGAAAAAAGAAAAGGGTTAATTTCAAGACTTAATTGAACTCAAACTACGGTTAATTGATTTTTATGTTCCATTGATTAAATAATTATGAGTCATGATGAATTTTATACTACTAATTAATAAAGACATTACAAAATTTACTTGGTATACCGTATACGACATTTATTTAATGAAAAGTGTAAGAATATATACAGCATAGTTTGCTGTGGGTGAAGAACTTACTCCCATGGAACATCACCCACAAGCATCCAATCACTATCCTTATCTTCATAGGTTGGCACATACTCAGACCTGTTCAGAAGATCCATCAACTTGCTCTCATTCATGAAGTCTATTATTCCTTGGGCCCCGTAGTTTCCTTCAGTAGACCAAAAAAAAAAAAAAAACCATAAATGACAAGAAAAGTCAGTGTATTATACTTCTAATTAAGTAATAGTTAATCATGCACTAACCTACAATCAATTAGCAAGATTGTAACATTGCTGATATGATTAAATCCAAAGAAAAAAAAATGATTAAATCCAACTCTGCATGCACCATCAACAAATTCACATGCCGGATAGATCAGGAGCAATAAAATAATGTTTAATCGGTAATTTCATGAGCAACAGTGCAACTGTCTTAGTCTTGCAGTTGTGTAAAGAGAGGTTTTGGGGCCGTATATATACGTAGGCAACGGAGGTATAAATTATATTTTTATTTTTGATCGTTGATTTTATTTATATTTAATTGTTTTAATTTTTTTTAATTATGTGAGCTATTGGATATTATTGTTGAGGTGTAAATGAGCTGGATCAAGCTACGCTTTGACCTATATATGTCATGTCTCTGTAAAATATTTTGTGTCTAAGTTGACCTATTAGTTTAATATAAACACTAAATTATAGATATTGTCTATTTATATTAAAAAATCAAAAGTTTCAGCCTAGATCTGTTAGTCTATTTAAATTTACAAAGTTTTCAATAAATAAAATAATATCATTTTATTACTCTAAATTACTTAAATATTTATTTTATTTTATTTTAATTAAATTAAATAAATAATACCATATAGACCGATTTGTAGATTTATAGATCAGACCTGATAAAAGTAAGCACGTGACTTATTTTCTAAACACACTGTTTTAAAGACTTGACTCTATTCTAGTTTATTGAATATATTAGACTATGCTTGACTTGACATAAGCTAGACTACAGGCATCAAATAAGTCATTTAATCCATTTACAATCCCTACATATAAGTGAATCAAAAATTAAATATTAGTGTAAAATTTCTTATTCATAAAATTAGTGTAAGCCATTATATACACACATATGATGAAATCTTGTGTGTAATGCTTACCTACGGTGAAGGAGCTGAACATTTTGACTAACGCATCAGATAATTGCTGGTAGCTTTTGTACATTTTCAAGTCCACTTTGCGAAGGTAAGGTGCGCCATCCATGGAAACCTTGACAAATGCCACAGAAGTAGTGCTGTTTTTTGTCTTCTCAGTGCCATCCTCACTATTAATCTTTTGCGACATAATGTTCTTCCTGTACGAGCGCACTGGTGGCCAACCAACCACTTGTGCCCTGAAATATTCCAAATACCCATCATCAATTGTATTCTTCTTTTGTTTTGTTCAAGATTAAAAACAAAAATAACTAGACAAAATTCAACTTATGGCATACTGTTATCGTGAATGAAGAAGTATATTCAATTGCATACTATAGTTTACCATTAGCAAAAAGGAAATTTTCGAAGAAATAAGCAGAAAATATAGAAGAAATAGAATGGCGATGTAGGGAAAGAAACGTGTGTGTTTTTTTTTTGGATATATTTTTTAGTTCATGGATTAAGATTAGTCTGGTTAGAACACTTTTAAATTCATTATAGGCGGCGGTTCTCTCAAGATCATTTTCTCTATTTTCATGGCTCGATTGTTGGTATCACTTGATTCAGGATAACCGATTCTTTATTATCACTTGAACCAATGATTATTGGTACAAGCCTATATTCTTAACTAATAGTACTTGGATGGTTGAAAGGAAACAAAAATCAGGAAGGAATTTAAACATCAACTTATTTTAGGTCCAAGAACAAGAAAATGGAAAATAGAAGCAAGCAGATGCCATTAACAATATGCAAGAAAAGTGGAGAAAGGGACTATTATTACTTAGCTGGTGGCTTATGAAGGGTCTTCTCCTTCGAGACATCCTTCAAATTCTCATTCATATCATCCTTGGAATGAAGATTAAGCTTGAGATCAAGAGTCTCAGAGAACCCTCTTTTTCCGGTGGCCCTTGGAGTTTCCACTTCAGTGCTTCCACCAGGCAAACCTAGGCATAGCTCTGTCTCCTTCAGGTTCAAATCATGCTCCTTCCCCAGCAAAGTTGCCATTTTTGGCTTGTCAATAAATTACACAGCCTCAGCAATAGATACTTAAATAAACGAAGCTATTTTTGTTTTATGTTTTGTTTTCCTTTCTTTCTCTCTAAAAGTGTCTCTCTTTATGGCACGGTTATTTCCTTTGCTTCCCCTTTCCTGTGTCCTATTATTCTTCTATTATAAGGCTGCTTGGTTGGGCTATATATAATAGGGGGGGGAGAGAGAGAGTTAATAATATAGGTCTTAACCGACTCTGTTGGTTTCATATGCTAACGGGATTTGAGGTACCTAACCTACTCTACTCAACTGGGTAACCGAAATGTGGAATTAATAAACCTCAATTTTTATGCCTTCCAAAGATACTAATCTGTCCCTTCTTGTGAATTTCAATTCACATGCAGTGCACGAGTGGTTTTTATTAGTTTCCCATCTACTATTGTCCTCTTATTGCAGGATTTGGTATTTTCTCATGTTAAAATTTTATATTATTTGATTATGTAAATTTTTTATATCTATTTTTTTTTTCATTAATGATATTGAACTTCACGTATGTGAAAAAAAAGATAACTATAAAAAAATTTCACATAATGAGGTGATATATAATTTTAAAATGAGAGAATTCATCCCTGGTTAACTTTTCTGAAATAATACATTGTTTTATTTTCTTTCCTCATACGTAGGCATGCAACTTGTACGATTTGTAATTTTTTTTAATACATATCTCTGCTCGCAATCATATCCTTTAATAATGTAATTTATGTAAAATCTTCATAGAATATATTACGAGAACAATCAGTGTTATTATTAGTAATGGACCGAACGGTTCATCCCATTCGCCGTAAACCCGTACTGGTTTTCAGATGAACCGTTTTGTTTTGTTGAAGTTTTAAGTATAATAATTAGAGGAGAATACTAAAAAAAAAAAAAAAAAAACAATTTAGAGGAGGGTTATAGTGAAAACTTTTATTTATTTTTTTTACAAACTACATTATGTTTTACTTAAGAGTATCTTATAGATAACACATAATGTGATTTATAAAAGTTTGTAAATAAAAAATTTGTAAATATAATCTTTCCGAAATAATTAATGGGGGTTACTGCTTGGATTCAAAACTTGGGTACTTGGGAAAGATATCAATAACATTTACCATTAGGTCAATACTTTTTTATGGTAGTTATCCAGTCACTATTGTATTTATTAGATATTATACTATAAATTAAATTTAACTGATCCAACTAGTGACTCACTGATCCATTGACACAATTCTGGGATCAAACCAATAACTAATTTGAGTTTAATAAAATTAAAAAGAATGATAGTGATTGAAAAGAATGGTAGTGACAATGTCATAGAAACAATATCAGTAGCAGTAACGATACAATATTTATAATTGTGATCATGGTTATCAATCATCGTAGTGGTTGTGATTTAAGAATGGTAACGATACATCGGGTGCATATAAGATGTTACATTTTATGATATCAGAGCACTTTCTAAGAAAAAAAGCCTGTATGTATTGCAATAACTTAAGATGCCTTGTTGTGTGAATTGTCTTGTGAGTTTCTATTAGGTTTTGCTATGATAATGCAAGTGTGACCACATTGTGTGGGCCTCATCAACTCATCCTTTGTATAACATGTGAAGAGTTATGGAACCTCCTAGGAGAACTCGGGAGACGAGTAAGGGTCAGTCTGATCCTATCATGACTGTATTAGCTGAGATACAGGCGGCTAGACAAGTTGATCAGGAGGCCACTAGAGTGGCCAACCAGGCTATGATGGATGCCGTGAGAGAGGCGAATAGGAAGGCCACTGAAGACGTGCTTGAGGTAAACCAACTGGCGAACATGACTATGATGAGGGTCATGTTGGAGGAAATGAGGACTGGTCGCAATGATAGCCAGCATCCGCCACCGCCACCACCACCTTATCACCAGGATGGGAATGGAGGAAGAGGGACGCACATTCCTGAGGACGATGGTCAGAGCCACATGGAGGGTGTTAGTCACCTTCCGGGGATGATGCAACCTTACTATGAGCCCATGGAAGATCAGGAGATGAGAGACCGCCAGCTAATGCTTACTGTAAGCACAAGCCACCTTTTTTATGGATCCTATGATCCCATTGTTGCAGTTAGATGGCTCCAGGCCCTGGACAAGATATTCAAGGTGATACAGTGTACTAATTCACAAAGATTGATGATTTCCACCTACATGCTTGAGGGAGATGCACATGAGTGGTGGATGAACACCTCTCAGGCGTATGAGATGCAGGGTCATTTGATTACTTGGCCATTCTTTGAGGAGTTGTTCCTTGGGAGATATTTTCCTTATGATGCTCAGGAAAGGAAACAGTAAGAGTTTGAGCGCCTGGTGTAGGGTTCCCTGACCATAGATGATACTTGGCTAAGTTCAATGAACTGGCCAAATTTGCCCATTTTCGGATTGCTATGCCTACACCTGTATTTTTAGCTGCTAAGTTCCGTAGGGAACTTAATGGGGAGATAGCAGATCGGATAGCTAGATATGCATCCAGAGATTTTGGTACTTTGATTCAGCAGTGCCGAGACATAGGGGATGTTTGTGTGATAAACAAGAAGAGAAAGACTGGAGAGCCAGAGACGAAGGGAGCTAGTGGTTCCACTACTTGGAAGGACAGGAGATTTGGGGGGAAAGGAAAAGGGAAGCAGTTATCTGTCAGGCAATCGCCTAACCAGTTCAAGAGGACATTTACTCAGCAGGGCAGTACAGCTAGACCTCCCACCATTCCCAGATGTACCGGGTATTGGAGATCACATGTTGGGCCTTGTTCCACCGATCAGATCAATTATTTCAAGTGTGGCAAGGAGGGCCACTACACCAGAGATTGTCCCTCGTCGGTTGCTAGGGTTACAGCAGTTCAGGCGGCCCCTCTACAGATGTTTTTATTCCACCTACAGCGACACCCGTTGTACCACCAGTTATGGGACGTGTGTACACTCTTGATCGCCAGCAGTTGGATAAAGCTCTGAACCTTATGAGAGGTACTATTTTTATTGGTGGTTGTGACATAGATATGTTGTTTGACTCCAGAGCCACTCATTCTTTTACTGCGGATCTGATTGCTGTGGGGCTAAATTTGCCCATGTATGAGCTTTCTCCACCTTTGAGGGTTACTACCGCTACTGGGGAGAAATGCGACGCTTCATCTATTTATTGGGATGTGGCATTTGAATTGGATGGTCGAGATTATTTAGCAGATCTCATTTTCCTGCCCATGGTCAATCTTGAGATCATTTTGGTTGTGGATTGGTTGTCCAGAAATTGTGTGATGATTGATTACTGTGCAAAGAAAGTGGTGATGTCTCCTTGTATTTCCCTACCAATTCTTCTCCTTATTTATCAGTGCTTCAGGCGAGAAAGGCCTTGAGAGCAGGAGCATATGGCTATGTTATGTTGGGAGGTTTGGTGAGTGGGACACAAGAGGATATTACCGGCATTCCTGTGGTGAGGGAATTCCTTGAGGTATTTTTCTGAGGAGTTTCCTGAGTTTCCGCCACACTGGAGATAGACTTCTCTATTGATCTTTTACCTGGTGTGGGGCCTATTTCACTAGCTCCATATCGGATGTCTCCACCCGAGTTAGCGAAATTGAAGAAGCATATTGAGGATCTTTCTGTGAAGAACTTCGTCTGACCTAGTATGTCTCAATGGGGAGCACCAGTAATATTTGTCAAGAAGAAAGATGGAATCATGCGATTGTGCACTGATTACAGGCAGTTGAACAAGGTGACAATCAAGAACAAGTATTTTGGATCAACTCAGGGGTGCTTGCTTGTACTCAAAGATTGATCTTTGGTTGGTATCCGATCCGGGTTAAGACGGAGGATATTCCCAATACCGCATTTTGTTCGACATATGGTCACTATGAGTATTTGGTGATGCTATTTGGCCTCACCAATGCACCGGTAGTATTCATGGATTACATTAACCATATTTTCCAGCCGTACTTGGATCGTTTTGTGATTGTCTTCATTGACGGCATATTGATTTACTCTAAGAGCGAGGAGGAACACGAGGAGCACTTGAGGATTGTACTGCAGGTACTTAAGGAGAAGAAATTTTATGCAAAGCCTTCGAAGTGTGAGTTTTGGCTCACTTCAGTGAAATTTCTTGGGCATGTGATTACTGCAAGAGGAGCAGTAGACCGAAAAAAAATAGAAGCAATATTGGATTGTGAGAGACCCAAAATAGTTACAGAAGTTAGGAGTTTCTTAGGATTGGCAGGCTACTATAGGAGGTTCATTGAGGGATTGACCAATATGGTGTTGCCACTTACTCGCCTTACCCGGAAGGAGACTCCATTTGTGTGGACTCACGAGTGTGAGGAATATTTTCAGGAGTTGAAGGAAAAATTGACAACTGCACCAGTGTTGATCCTTCCTGATCCTGCGGAACCGTTTTAGCTATTTTGTGACGCTTCTAAGAAGGGGCTAGGTTGTGTGTTGATGCAGACTTGTAGAGTTGTTGCATATGCTTCGAGGCAGTTAAAGCCTCATGAGGAGAACTACTAGACTCATGATCTGGAGTTGGCTGCCATTGTTTTTGTCTTTAAGATTTGGAGGCATTACCGGTATGGAATGAAGTTTGCGGTGTTCAACAATCATAAGAGTTTGAAGTATCTTTTTGTCTAGAAGGAGCTGAATATAAGACAGAGACGATGGATAGAATTTCTTAAAGACTGCGACTTTGAGTTGAAGTACCACCCAAGCAAGGCCAATGTGGTAGCTAATGCTTTGAGTCAGAAATCTGTGAGTCTATCCAGCTTAATGATTAATGATCTTGATGTGATTGAGAAGTTTCGAGACTTGACAATGACCTCTTTGTTTTGGGGTGCACTTCTAAAGATGGAAATTGTGAGAGTTGAAAATGAGTTGATGGATAAGATCAAAGAGACGTAAGTGAAAAGAGAATGCCTTGATTACGTGAAGAACCAAAAGGGTGTGTCTTCAAACGAACAGAGATTGTTGTTGTTTCATAATAGCATTGTGGTACCTAGAGGTCCATTGACAAAGGAGGTGATGTTAGAGGCTCATAAGGGTCAATTCACTATTCACCTTGGGGCTACAATGAAGTACCAGGATTTGAAAAGACATTTC